GGTCGCCGAGATAGGCGGTCTTCCCTGTGGGATCCTTCCCGTGAAAAAGACCCGTATTTTTGACTTCTTCATGCAGTTAGTCAGATCTGATTTGGAGTTTTCTCCGTGGGGTGTTCTCACAACATATGGTAGAGCAAAACCATTGCAGCAAATCCCCCACTCTGCCGAGTTACTGCCATTCAAAGACCATTGTCCTTCAGAAAAGCCCTCCCTAGGCAGAACTTTCATCTAACTGTCACAAATCATGGCGTCGCATTCTACATGGCCAGCGTAAATAAGGGGTTGAATTGGCACCTCACCCCTTAATCGACATATCATAGTTTGGATTGGCTAGTAAGTCCTTTTGATTTTATAGAATTAAGAAAAAAATAAAATAAAGTAAAATAAAAAAACGGACAGCAATTTACGTAGTGTTTTGACGCGACCTTGATCGGCTGCCGGTCTTTTAGCCATAGCGTTTAAAACTTTTAGTCCTTTGAAATTTTTGCCTGTTACTCGGTTTTTTGCTACTCCGTTCCTCGCTCCTCGATAACTACGTTGCTCTGTTTACTAAGAAAACCTAGTGCATGCTCATACCGCGCGAGAGCAAAGTTAATTTCGTGTCGTCATTTCCACTGGCAGTGTTATAGATAGGAGTTGCCCTCGGCAGCGTCTCGATGTCTTATATTCTGTGACACAAAACGCTGTTGTAATTTCCAGGTTTTTCCTAAGTCTCGTTTATTGAACCTTATTCCCTTGTAACTCAACTGGAAATTAAGATCATCGCTAAGACATAATGCAAGAATTTTTACATTAGGCTATGTACTTAGAAGTTAAGGACATTCGCACCCATTGTTTCTGCGCATCCTTACTACGCACGTAATAGACCAATTTTGACACATTAAAATTCAGCCTGAAACAAGACACCTCAGCACGAGGCTCTGTTGCCTTTTCAAAATTATCCGGCGTAGTGTGGACGGAAAACATTCGGTGCGTCTTCAGAGAACGTGCGGAAAACATCGTTTTCAAATTTCTCTGGCGTAGTGTGGACCGGCTGGGCCTAAGATACTACTGATTAGGATTTTGCAAATTTATATCTTTTAACGCTGCAGGAAAAACTGGCAAGATAGATTTCCCTGAAAAACGAGTTCCAGTTAAAGTACAAAATTTATTACCAGTCTGTCAAATTTTAAAGAATTTCACCAAAGGGAACGCGAGAAAATTTACTGTCAGTTTTGCTGTTTTTGTCCATGATTACGTCATAAAATATCAAAACACTGACGTTCTTCTTTGAGAGCGCGCAGATTACTAAAGCTTTCTTCCTCAGCACGCGTGCGATCGCAAAACTATAGGGAGCCATCTTAACCGTTTCATTCGCATTTTAGACTAATTAATAAAAGATAAGAGCCCGTTACCACAGCTGTTGTGTGTACGTTACGTGACCAACGGGTATGACCATCGCATGCATGTTCGTCACCAGGAACTGCGCTCCCATTGTCGAAAACCATTCTGTGCCGGACATTGTGGTCACAGCTTATGCTACTTTCAATTCGTTTCGCAGAAACTAGGAACAGTAGGAAAATTTGTAGTTTGGTTTTGGTCTTCCAAAATATATATAAACCCTTTTTAAGGGGATGTTAAATTAACAGATCTGGACTGATATATTTAATCAGAATTTTATTCGTCGTTCTTGAGGCGAAACTCAAAATGCACCCCAGTCAATTGTCACATCTCAATCAGTACTCCTTACTTTTCAAGCGAAATTCAAAATGGAATCAATGGAATATATAAATATCCCTCAGTCGTTTTTCTTCAGCGAAACAGAAAATAAAGCACAGCGCATACATACCTCTATCGAGTTCGAGGGCCGTACTGTAAATTTTTCCCCATCGATTTATAGGTCAGCACACACGAGGAGACTAGTGCCTGCGACTAGTCCCTGCAAATATGCCCCAGAAGAGTTGAGACGAAGGGACTGGTCACAGGGAATTGTCCCACGAACAGTTCACAAGAAGCGTTTTGAGGAACAAGTCGCAGTGACTTGTCCCAAAAATTCAAACCAGTCTGAATTCGTAAGACTAGTCGCAGAGACCGAATTTTAGTCCCTGCGACTAGATTTTGCGGCAAAAATGGCTTATTCACACGATGGGACCTGTCTCAGGGACTAGTCTACTCGTGTATCTGACCTTAAATCGAAGGGGAAAAACGAGGATCCGTAACTTAAGGGCGCCGCACACTAGCCGATTTTTTGTCGGCCGGCAAAAAAATATTTTCTTGTCGGCTAGTGTTCGGTGAATTCAGACAAGTCTGCGACAAGATCGAGGCTTGTCGGGCGATATTCTGACAGTGCTAGATCTCAAAACGTCTTGTCGGGCCTTGTCGGCTAGTGTACGGTGGACCAAGACAATTTGTCGAGGCTCACGCGCGCCTCAACCAATTAGGAAATGTCATGAGAGTCACGTCAGTGGAATAGGCGCCATCTTGATTTTGGATGACTCGGCCCCAAGCCTCAACGCGGTTAGTCGCGACAAAAAATCGGCTAGTGTGCGGCAAGCTGATGGCCCGACAAATTTTAACCCGATTTGACCCCGAGACGAAAATCTGCAGTTCTACGACAAAAAATCGGCTAGTGTGCGGTAGCTTTTACTGTGTGTCTGCCGGGTTCGGGAACGATTTCTATTTCCGCGGAACGGCTTCAAATTTCTGACGCACGTCAAAAGGAAAACGAGTCAATTTGAAATCGTTGTTAATTAAATTTTGAGTGGTTAGCAGGTTTAAATACACAATTTCAGAAGTAAAAGAAAGTTTTAACCTTTCACTTGCTATAAAAGTTAAGAACACTTGGCAATAAATCACGAAACATTTTGGCAACAAAACCAGCTTTAAATTTTAGCGGACCGTACAGTGGAATTGACCAATCACAGCGCGCGTACTAACTGAGAGATATAATAAACGCATGTATACCTAGTTCGTGAACGGTGCATACACACACGCTTTCCTCGTTTCTAAGCGGTCGTTTTCTTAGCTTCACGTTCAGTAATCTGCGACTACGGGACTGCGGGACTACGGAAGCACTAAAGGGTAACTTAGTCAGCAAAGCCGCTCTGCCAAACTCACATTACCTGGGGCTCCATAATCCCATGACGCATCAGCTTCGCATCGCCATTTTCACTTGAAATGTTATGAAACGATTGATTTACGCTCTTAGCTGTGCATCATCGAGTAATAATGCCCTTGGGAAGTTCGAAGAGCTCTCAAGAAGCTACAACCATGTGCTACAACCATGGACTAATTGTGTTGGAAAATGCGCAAGAACATGAAATCGTAACCGTATAATACCTACAGTTGTACCTATCGGTAAGTGCCAACGAGTGAATTGAGTTAGTAAACAAGAGTTGAATGAATTTTGCAATATTTATTTGGGATACTTCTAGTGTAACAGGCGTTAAAATCAATTTCTTTTAGTTAACGTTTCAAATTATTGCTGTAATTGAACGCAACATTGTTTGTTTTTCAACTCAGTGAGTGAACAAAATGCTAAATACTTTTTTTATTTTTAAAAATCATAGTATAACAGGTGTTAAAATGAATTTCTTTTCCCTCGTTCGGCGATTATTTTGGTAAGCACTCAAGTAATTTGCCCACCATTCTGCTTTTTGAGGCGTATACATCTTGGGTTTGTTGTGAATTGTTAGAGCTGAACAAGACCCGCGTTGTTTTCTGGAATAAATTCGAGTGTTGTCTATTTGATTCAGGGTAACGCTCAGGATTTGTTCGCCATCCGTTCGACGAATTATTTCGGTAAGTAGTTTGTCTGACATTCTGCTTTTTGAAGGTGAATGTAACTTGGATTTGTTGCGATTTAATCGCATAATTGGAAACCTCATTCAGGTGTTTATTCGAGCGACAGCACTCTTTGAGAGTAAATTTCAACCAACATGTTGACAGAGCCAAAGAAGCTTAAATTGAACCAGCGAGTTCACTTCTGACGACCTCTGCGCAAAGTTCTTGAAATTAAAAGAAACTTCAAACCAAACAAATACCATTAGTCACTTAAAACTTACCGCGAATCACCGAATTGATTGCAAATAATCCTTTAAAACACGTTCAAATTAAACAAACAACATTGATAATCTTCGTCATATTTCATGTGAGCTTGTTTTACACTGTTCTCTGCTCAACACTTTTGTCTCCGTGAAAACCCATTAAATCGAAGTTACATGCACCTCATTGATCCTTTATTAACTTATTTTACATTCACCTTCAAAAAGCAGAATGTCAAACAAACCACTCACCGAAATAATTCGTCGAACGGATGGCGAACAAATCCTGAGCGTTACCCTGAAACAAATAAACAACACTCGAATTCATTCCAGAAAACAACTCGGGTCTTGTTCAGCTTTAACAACTGTACGATTCAGTCACAACAAATCCAAGATGTAAACGCCTCAAAAGGCAGAATGGTAGGCAGATTACTTTAGTGCTTACAAAAATAATCGCTCAACGAGGTTCCGCAACCAGGAGAGCTGAACAAAGCGAAGCCTCCTGATGTCACAAAGAAAAATAGTGTTCTGATTGGTTCGTTCGATCTATCGACAACATCCGGTTACATCCTAATATGGCCCAAAAAATATCACTGACGGAACCGGATTACACGAAAAACGAGCTGAAAGATCTGAGATTTTTTCTGCATAGCCATCAAACTACGTACGGCTCTATATCCTGCCGCCTTGACAGGCACGCGTTTTCGCTCGCCTATCTCGTTGGCAGTAAGCGTCAGCACCCTCAATCCCTCTTTCAATGTTGGAAAATTGTAAAATGCAAGCTCGCGTTCGATGAAAGTGTTTTACCAACATTGCACAGGGGTGGAAAGGGCCCTTGTGACCAAGCTTGTAGAGTTATTGTCGGCTACGTCTCGAGAAACTCTTACGCTTCGTTCGCTCTCTCCAAGCTCCCCGCGTGCATCGTAACTCAATCGTTCGCTAGATTAAGATATAATTCGATCTACTCATCCAATTTCGCCCCAAGGTCTTAAAAATTCTAACAAAACATAAATAGATAATTTAAACTAAGAACTAAAAGAAGTGTCAATATGGACGCTTCCGTTTGCCTCTTGAGAATCCTGTGCGTCGAATTCGCCTTCTCCCACGAGAGAGAGAATCAAGTAAAGGCATCGCAGAAGGATAATGGCCCGTGGCACCACACGAGAAAGGTGCCACTACGGTCAGGTCATCAGGGTCCATCCAAATTAGGTTACAATTGTTTTGTTCCACGAAACGGTCTAAAAGTTTCGTGGTCAGCGAGTCTCTTTGATGACGTGGGTTCACTACAATGCATTCGACGTTCTCGGATAGACTGACTGGTCCGTGAATTTGAACCTGTGGAGGAGATTTCAACGTGTCAGTGTGGTTAATTGATTTTAAGAGTGCTATGTGGTGTCGAGGGACAAATGAAAACACAATGTGGTATCAACTTTTAATAAATAAAACCTTTTAAAAGGCATTGAAAAACTAGATGTAGGTAGAGCAAGTGGTTAAAAATGATTGTCAAAATTGTGTTGTTTTTTGTATCTCTTGAATATTTAACTCACTTTTTCTTAATTTTTAGTGTTTCCGTAATCACCTTTGTGAATCTAAACAGCTTAACATAAACGCCCAAAATTCCGCCTAATTATAACTTGAATATCTTAATAAATTAATAAGTGGTACACAGGTTTACCTCTTTGTAGTGTGAAATGCAATCTGATCGATGAAATGGAACTTTCCCAGTGGCGACGTCCACAATCTGAGTGAATGACACAGAGAGGGTAAAATACTACGTCACGACAAGGAAATATCATATCGACTCGATAACGCATCTGAATGATAACTCATATTAAATATAGTGCAGTTTATTTATTGACTTAATATTGTATTATTTACCGCTGCTATCTCCTGGTCTGTGTAGGAAAACAAAACGTTTTCATAATGTTCACAACAGGAAAGTTTTACTCCCGCTCCTGAAGTGTCTTGAGAGGCAAACGTGGTACGCAGGCGGACTTTCTTGAGCTGAAAATAAACAAAGAAGCTAAATTATCAAACACTAAAAACTGGGTTTATACGAAGGCAATTTAAGAAAACTACGACGGCAACGGGAATGTTGCTAAACAAAAGGTTTTAAAACGAGCAAAATAATGGCTGTGCACTTGCTTTATAATTCTTGGTGCATTTCTTTGCCGTCATCTGCAAACAACAACGTGAAATGACCATATCCTGCGTTGTCTGGAGAACGTAAATCACGACGGCTTCTTTTTTAAATTTACATTTCAAATTTATTGCTGTGTTCCAAATTCATTTTTATGATAGTTTTGACAGAGATGAACAAGGTACATGACTCAAGAGTACCGCGAGATTCCTAGGTAAAATATAAAATCATTTTTTAATGCACGTTGTCCTCGGCGTCTCTGTCGTGGTTACTTAAGCTCGTTAATAACTAGGAGGCTGCAATTTCCGATTGTGAGTTTCAATGAGTTTCATAAGAAACTCTTGAGAGGTTCACCATGCGTTTTGAAATTGAGTTATAATTAGAAATACAAAATTAATGTCTGACTGGCTGTTTTCTCTTGGACAACTACGATGTGAACAGATGTGAGACTGAAATTTCATCATTGAACACACATTTTCCGCAAAGAAAATTTTGCTGTTGATTTAAAAAACAGGGCACCAACCTGTAGAAAAGAATCGCCATAACTTATACAGCTTCTCACACCACGGGGATCGCCAACTAAAAGAAAAGATAGAGTACACAAAATTAGCCTGCGAACGCAGACTTATTTCCGGCTGTCGCTTGTCTCCGCCGAGAGAAGCGACAGTTTGAAATACGTCTGCGTTCGCAGGCTAAGAACAAGTCAGTCCATGGGGAATTTGGCTGAAATGAAGGTGAGGGTGAAAGAGAGCAAAAGAGTAAGAAAGGACCGGGGAGGGAGGGAGGGAGGGAGGGAAAGGGGACAGATGGACGAAGTCACAATCCACCTCCCTCTGGAGGACTAAGACGGGAGAAGAGTTGATAGCGCGCCACTACCGGTATCGCACTGTTCATGACTTTAAATCCCATTCAGGGCTAACTTTTTAGGCTATATGTTCGCAAGCTGAAGTTGCTGACAAATCCGCCTTGATCTGTCGTGTAATATATACTGACTAAATATAGGTTATTGATCAAAGGTGCCAACTATTGGCCAAGTTCTTTTTTGTGTGTCTATTGACCGAATCGCAGTCGAGAAGACCATTTTCTAGCGGAAAACAGCGAGCAATCACGAGCGGGAGCCCCAACTTGCCTGACGGCGCAGGATTTGGTTCGTCGTGCCCGGATTCCGCGTCCTTGTTGATCAGATCGAGTGACTTAGCGGATCCTTTAAGGGATACAACTGTAATATGCCCTGCTTTGATACACAGGAATACCAACCTATGTTTAGAACACCGTACTTGACACGTTCTGAGGGAGGGCTGCTGTGGTACGCGTTGTTAAAAATGCGATCCTAAAAAAAGCGTCGAGAAACGAAATAAAAACGTTGACTTAGTCAATAATAAGAACAACCTTCAGCGATAAATGCGCGGTTCAGAAAACAGTGTGTTCAGTAGCTGAGCAATAAAAACATTTTGAACGACATTTACAAATTTAAAAGTTTGTGGTTCATCAAAGAACGCATACGCTTGTGGCAAAAAAAAAAGAAAAAAAAAACAAAAACAAAAAAGAACTAGTAGCTTGTCCGTCCGCTGGTGGTCGTGAACTTCATTCATTACACAGTAGGTGACTACCATTGTTACACACCTCTTACCTCCCAGGATTTCCTAGCCGCCTTGTCCGTGGAGCCGCCGCTAGTTCCAGTCTCAAAACGGTTGCGATAGTGCGTGTCTTTAACTAGGAATTTTAACACTTTATCGAGATTGATATGGACGATGATGGGCGAGGCACTGCGAACCCACTGTAAAGTCCTTTGCAGGAAAGAAGAAAACTAATCAAGAACGGCGAGTGATATTCAGGGGTGACACTAACTTTCACTCAACCTGCGTGCTGGCGTCCTTAATTCCTCTCTGTGTCAAAGGTCACAGAATGCTTCTGATGCAGGCTTATTTGCACAGAATGACTTACACCTTCAGTGATCATGAACCTGGATATTGGGGCAGGGGGGGGGGGGGGGTTCGGGGGTCCACTGGTACGCTGGTGGGGCCAAGTGAAAAAAACATGGCTTCAAAGTGGGGAGTGGCAGCCGAAAAAGATGCGCATCAGCAAGATGAGCAGATGAGAAAAGGGAGCATCACTCAAAATAAAGTACACATGCAGTACATTACTGTAAGTAAAAGTCTTTCCGGGTTCGAAAACATACCTTTTCAAGTCATTCTCACTGTAACCGAGGCCCTGAACTCGGGCAAGTAGTTTGGAGGCTACACTCTTAGAGTCCTGGGCCGAGCGTGTGATGACGTATTGTAAAGCTGCTAGTTGTGTGTCATTCAAGATGGCGACTGATGAGATGGCGCTCAACTAAAAAGAGTTTAGAATTATAAAAGCACTATTAAGGGATAAATACTATTAAACCAAACACTTTCAGAAATTTCGGTTAGAAATAAATCAAAAGGTTTAATAACTAACGAAAATGAATAAATAGGATATTTTAGAGTTACCTTGTATCTCGGTTTCAAAACGAGTCTTCGAGCAAAACCTTTCATATGAATGAGTTTGATTTGCATGAAAATGAACCTGCACGCAAAAGGCAACTTGGACTTCTATTTTAATTCCAACATCAGTTTTTA